GGATTAGGGGAGGGCTGCTACCTACCCTGTTTTGGCAAAGCTGAAAACATGCAAGGGTACAATAGATTATAGAATCCCCCTCCTACATAACATAAAATGACGGGTTACGCTTGTGGGGAGTTTAGCAAAACATTAAAGTTAGAAGGTGTTTGGTGCATCTTTCAGTCTGCGTATAGTTTGAAAGACCAGAAAATGGTCTTTTTTCTGTTTGATATCCTGTGGACCAGAAGATCTGAAATAGTTGAAAATCAAGAGTATTCAAATGAAGCTATTGCTTTCTCTTTCTCCACACGCAAAACATTCCCAAAGTAATGTGAGTATGTGAATGAGTGAATCATCTGTTATTTGTGGTTCAATGGAAATATATAAAAGTAATCTGATTCATTGACAGCCCTACAACGCCACCATCTAGAAGCTAGAAGCTAGATGTATTAATTGAAGTAAAGATTTTCAGTTTCATTCCATTCCCATAACTAAACAACAAAAGAGAGAAAAAGAAAAAGGAAAAAAAGGAAATCAAACAACCAAGGGCCAGTGGGCGGTCTTTTTCATGATGAAACTTGTACAAAGTCGACCGACCCATGACCCATGTTTGGGTCATTCATTCTCTTGCCCGGAATGCACGAAGCAAACATTGGTTTTTATTTGTTTATGCCATTGCTACGTGATGTCATCTAACATGAATATGGGATAATGGGACATAGGGATGTGTGTACTGTCACTGTGTACTATCAACTGAGCAACAATTTTAACGTGGAACGAGCTGTGCCAACCACCCCCTGTGTTTTACAGTGTTAGCTCATCCCTATATACTTTCTCACTACCAAATGCGCGTCTCTGATCTGCGGCTCTGCTACTCGATATCATTTGCTTCGCTTTGCCAAAGAATGCGTTTCACATGTTCGACGAAATGACATCTCTCTCGTATTGGGTGGTTGAAATGATAATTCACATAGCTTTCATGCCTCTCAACGAGTCCTTATATGGACATTGCGATGATTGAACATTCTTCCTTCCAATGCCCAAACACAACAAAAGATTGAAGAGAAGGAAATGTACAAGGCTCATCGTCACACCTTGAAACCATCATATCATGCCCACTGCGCCCAGTAGCAGTGACCACTGGCCAGAGGGAAGAAGAACTCGAGGCCAAAAGGTCCTGCGAGCCAACAACCTAAAATTTCTTAGTGGAAAAGGAAAATTTTTCCAAAACCCTTTTCAAGGACGGACCGACGGAGTTCTTCAGCTTTAAGCAGAACGGCTTCCAAGGAGTATATCCCCCACCCCACTCACAACATAAACAAATATAAAGAAATGGCTGTCAAAGTGTTATGAACAATGGTAAAGCCTCCCTTTTTTCAAAGTCTTCATCAATTTTTTAATAGGTGAAAAAGGGAAAGACTAAGATGAGAAGATACATAAACCCTTATTTGTAGGGTGTTAAATTGGTTTTATTTAAAAAGTAAAAAAAGTTGGTTAATTTTATTAAAAAAAAAACAATACATGTTTTTGAAACCATCAAGGGGTATTCTCCTATTGTGAATTGTTTTTCTCATTGAAATTCAAAAACAAATCAAAACTATGGGGTTCGGGTACAATTTGATTCTTTAAATAAAACTATAGAAAGCATGTTCTTGGTTACAAATGCATTTCTCTGTTTCCAAAATTGAAAGAAAAAACATGTCTTGAATTTCTAGTTTATCTGGTTACATATTTCATAGATCATATTGTATATTTTCTACAAAATTTGTTTTATATTTTGAAAACCATCTTTTGATGGTTCGAAACAAAATCAATGTATTTTCCCAAAACAAAAAATATAGTTCAACAACATGTTTTTGTGTTCTTGTTAATGATGTTTGGGGAACCAATTTTGCTGCCTTTGGAAATGTGTGTGCAAAAGGTTTCCAACAGTCAACCTCTAGGATACAATAACTCTCATAGCTTCATCTCTCAGCCTTTGTGTGTTGTGTGTACTTACGAAGTTACAATCTAAAGTAAAGAACCAATTCATTTTATAAGTCTAGTTCAATAGAAAAATAAGAAATAGTGGAAAATGTGAAATATTTTTCTTAGAACTTCTCAAAACACACACACAAAAAAAAGAGGATAGAATTTTAGGTCTATGGGCCGGCATGGCATAGCACAACTGAGTGGGACGTGCCACCTGCAGCCAATATGGCCTATATATATTTACATATTATATATATATATATATAATATTATATTGTATATTAGAGAAAATTTCCAATTAGTATCCTATACTTTGGGCCTAATGCCACTTTGGTCCTCAAATTTTAAAATGCGACAATTCAGTATCCAAACCTTTAAAACCTGACAATCAAGTACTTGTCGTTAATTAGCTATTAACCAGTCGTTAAGTGACATTTGAAAAAGACACAAATGCCCTTCAAGTGTTATTTAATTTTCTTTATCAACCACCTAAACGTTGACAAAAAAATTAACAGTCCTAAATTTTTTCCTTTTCCATTCAAGAAAGTTGGGGTCACATTTGAGTGGGCATTCTAGTGACCCCAACTTTCTTGAATAGAAGAGGCAAGGATTTGATATTGCTAATTTTTTGTCAATGTTTGGATGGTTGATAAAGAAAACTGGATGACACTCGAAGGGCATTTGTGTCTTTTTCAAATGCCACTTAACGGTTGGTTAACAGTTAGTTAACAGCATGTACTGGATTGTCATGTTTTGAAAGTTTGGGTACTGAATTATTGCATTTTAAAGTTTGGAGGACCAAAGTGGCACTAGGCCCAAAGTACAGGGTACTAATCGGGAATTTCCCTATATAGTATACATAATAATTGTATAATATAGTAATATATAATTTTATTTTCAATTATATTATATTATATTATTTTATTATTGCATATATAAACAATCGTATACATCAAAATTCATATAAAATAAAATTTTAAGATCTTTTTTAATTTTTTGTGTATATTTTTTAGTTTATGTTAAAATTTTCATTATTTTTTCAAAAATTTTAAAAAGCATGGCTTGGTCGAATCTTGGGCCAAGCCTAGTCTACGGCCCAACCTGGTCCAAGACTCGGCCCATAGATCAACCCAGCCCGAGGCATGGCATAGCACGGACCTGCATGACCTCGGGCCGTGGGACATGTCAGGCCGACCCCCCAAAATATCCCAAGAGAGAGAAACACAACCCGACTCGACCCTGCAGGCTGGCATAGCACGACCTATACTTTGCACGGGCTGCATGTGAGTTATGCCATATTGGCCCAGCAGGGCCCGATTTACACCTCTATATAGTACTTCACCTCTTCAACAAAACCGTAATTCAATCATGCAGAATACAAAGTATACACTGATCACTACTAAGGAGCCCAAATAAAGAAGAAAAAATAATTACGGCCCGTGGGCCCCTATGAGGATTCAGGCGTATGATCAAATATAAAAAATATATATATATATATATATATACCACATTTTTGTTATATCAAAACCAACATATTTGCCACAAGAGTGAAGGCTCACTAAAAAGCCAAAGAAAACTCAAGTCAACAATGTATAAGGAGTTTTATTTTGGGGGGTGAGGGTGGTAAAGGAATAAGTCACATTTAATTTTGAATTACAAACACAAAATACTGGTAATTCCAAAAACAAATGAAAACAAAAAACATTCATGTTGTAGAACATCCCAAAGTGATGGTCATTAAAATGAAAACAAATTTTATAGTACGAAAATCATATGGAACACGATATAAAATGGATACATGATCTTTAAATTAAAAGTCCAAAGAACACATTTTTGGTTTCAATTTTTGAAACAAAAAAACACATACAACCAAGGTTGAGAATATCGGTACGCTCGATACGCCGGTAGGGATGTATCAGGTGTTTTGATACTTATTTTTTTACTTTTTTTTTTAACTGGTTCAGGGGAGCCGGTATAGGACCCCTCCATCCCCTGAATCGGTCAGACCCCTGCTACACCCACTGTAGGGGCGTATCGAAAGGGTTCCGAAACGATACGTATCGGCCAATACGTAACAATACTTTGAACCTTGCATACAACTAAGAAATATTTTCCATCTCTTTTTTCTAGGATCAGATTTAATTTATTCTTCAAACTCAACATGTAAAACAATTCACATTAAAGAACACCCTAATCATCCAAATGATTAGGTATTTTCAGTGGTGTGAATGAAAAAGGAAAAAAAAAAACTTGGATCAAATTTACCCATCTATCACCTATTTCCTATCTAAAAAAATTAAACTGAAATTAAATCCACAATTAGCTGAAGGGGAAATAACTCATAACTTGGGTGTGGAGCCATATAAATAAAAGATATTTAGGGTCTATAGTTGATCAATCAATCAATCAAGAAAAACCCACACACATCAAGATGGGACCATTCATCCAGGAATCAGGAATCAGGAATGAGGAATCAGGATTGAGTGCCGTGTTATCTATCGTATCATCTGTGAAGTGATCCACTAAAAAGAGAAACCAAAAACCCAATTCAGTTTAAAGCCGGTTCATCATGAATCAAAAGGCTCCTTAGACCACAAGAATCACATCTTTGGGTCCCACTCCAAATGAGAAATTGAGGATGCGGTTTGGTTCCTTTTTGGTATTAATGTGTTGGCGTCAACATGTCTAACAGAAAAAAAGTTGGATTGGTCATTAACAATGTTATTATGATGCTAGGCTGCGTTTGGCCACAAGAATCACATCTTTGGGGCCGTTCTGTCATTTGGGATACATCATTACATTGTAATTGGTTATTTGGCGAGATAATTTTAATACGGTGTAACAACAACAACCATGCATTGACCGGGGATTCTGTTATCCGAGTATCCGAGGTATAAACTATAAACAGATCCTGAGATTAAAGCCAAAAAGTAAATAATTTTAACAACGAAAGAAGATACATTAGAGACTAACAGAGATTCCACTTTTCTACTTCTTGAGAAGTTGCTCCATTTCTCAAAAAGGTTTACGTACGCCAGCTTGATATGGACTGGCGCCCTCTCTCTCTCCACAGCACGAAGAAAAAATGACTTGAGAGCTTTCTCTCTTCTTTTTTTCCCTCTCAAAGTACTTGAGTTGGTTGTGGTCTACGACATTGCCATTACTTACTTTGAGCCTCTTGTTTTTAATCTGTTCTTATCTCTTAATTTTTCTTTTTCTTGCCTTTAGCTTGTGGGCTCAGTCTGTATTTCTAATTTCTAAATTTGTGTTTTCTGTTGGGCACTGCCACCGAACTTCCTTGATTCCTTTTATTCCCTTCTGACCCACATTGCATTCTCTGCATCGAATCTACAGTTCCATTTTCAATCCTTTTCGAGGTTATATATATGGAGCTTTCCTCTTAGACCTCCCCTGTGCTCACATTGTCTTGAAGAACAACTTCAATGCAAGCAAAACGATTAACCTGTTTGTGTGTAATCATTCGGTGTTCTTGCCTTTTTAAATTTTCTGTCTTCTGTTTGTGGGTCTTCGGGCTTGGTTTGTCTGGTTGAGCTAGAGTCTTTCGGTGGGATTGGATTATGTAATTCTGTTGCTGGCTCGATGTTTGTTTGTATTCCCTGAATACATATCTGCCCTTCTCTGTTCAGTGTTTGTTAGGATTGCACTTTCTCACCTTCTGCAATACTCAAATAATGTAATTTATCCGGATATTAAATCGCCGGTCCCTCTAATGTCACCCTTCCTTCTCCTGAGCCATTGAAGAAAGAGTACCCAGTTGACTGAGTTGCCAAACAAGATGGAAGAGACCTTCGTCCCTTTTCGCGGAATCAAGAGTGACCTCCATGGAAGGTTGATGTGTTACAAGCAAGATTGGAGTAGTGGTGTCAAGGCAGGCTTCAGGTATGTATTAGTCTCTGGTATAACGAAGCCTTTCATGATGTTATAATATGGTGGCGATTATTAGCTTGGTAACATTCTTCAACTTGTTTCAGGATTTTGGCGCCCACCACGTACATATTCTTCTCTTCTGCGATTCCAGTCATTTCATTCGGTGAACAATTGGGCAGAAATACAGGTACTCGATTCATAAATCAATACTGTTATTTAAATTCTGTTTTCTTTTTTTTAGCTCTGCTGGTAACCCTCTCATGATCTCAAGCTAGAGTTTTGAGTTTTGACACAGTATCGGTGCAGTTGCCTTCTAATAATCTAAAGCTATTTATGGAAGCATTCTCTTCTACCGAATGGAAAAAGAAATAGAAATAACAATAGAAAACCTTTTAAGCTTTATAGCTCATGTACTCCATCTGGTATTGGCAGATGGGATTCTAACAGCAGTTCAAACATTAGCATCTACAGCATTATGTGGGATTATACATTCTATCATTGGAGGCCAGCCCTTGCTGATTCTTGGCGTGGCAGAGCCTACTGTGCTCATGTACACATTCATGTTTAACTTTGCTAAGGATATACCTGATTTGGGACCAGAACTTTTTCTAGCATGGACTGGGTGGTAAGTTATTGACTTATTTCCTCCTGTTTTATATATGTACATATTGAGTTTTCAGTGTTTCAGAATTATGTGACCTTCTGGCAGGGTATGTGTGTGGACTGCAATCTTGCTGTTCTTGCTGGCTATTTTAGGGGCTTGCTCCATTATCAATAGGTTTACTCGGTTGGCTGGAGAAATGTTTGGTCTTCTCATTGCAATGCTCTTCATGCAGCAAGCTATTAAAGTAATAACTATGATGCTTCATTTTTCATTTCTTTACTATTTTTCTTGGTTTACTGTTAAATTCTTTTAAAAAAAGGAGATATATACAAATACTGCTTTTCACACTAATGATCAAGATCCTCAAATCAGAGTAAAGTAGTTTTATCTAGGATATTCTGACTATTGTAGTTGTTAATGTAGAAGAATTTCTTGTTGGTTTGGCATGCTTCTGAATCAGTCTGATGAATTAGTTGGATGCAATTCAGTAATTTGATTCAAATTATTATGATATGTATTGTTTTTTTAGGGACTTGTGGATGAGTTCTGTATACCCCAGAGAGAAAATCCAAAATTAACAGAACTCATACCATCATGGAGGTTTGCGAATGGAATGTTTGCTTTAGTATTGTCATTCGGCCTTCTTTTTACTGCATTAAGAAGCCGAAAAGCACGGTCATGGCGATATGGATCTGGTAAGTACATGCTCAAATTTAACTTATTTTAAACCTAAGTTGTTTTACAATGACTTGGCTTTATTTGTCCTTCTCCATCGAGGAAAGGAAAAGGTAGTTGTTTTTTTATTCGGCTTTATCCCCATTTTCTTTGAAAAAAGATATGACAATTGGATCCTTTTTCAGGCTGGCTTCGAGGCTTCATAGCAGACTATGGTGTGCCATTGATGGTTCTAGTCTGGACTGCTATTTCCTACATACCAGCTAGTAGTATTCCAAGGGGGATTCCTCGGCGCCTTTTTAGTCCAAATCCATGGTCTCCCGGTGCCTATGAAAACTGGACAGTAATTAAGGCATGTCTAGTTTACTTTGTTCTTTCTTGATGCTTTTAGTATTGATAAAAGAACAGCCTCTTCCTGTTTTCATTTTCCTGCTTCTTTCACCTTGGTGTATTAATTCTTTTTCTGGATAAGTTGATTGTGAGAACTGTAAGGATCTCAGTCCATTAGGTGGAACTAGTACCTACTGACAGTTTATTCTTAAAACTGACAGGATATGCTAAATGTGCCTCTTCTCTATATAATTGGAGCTTTTATTCCAGCAACAATGATTGCAGTGCTTTACTATTTTGACCATAGTGTAGCATCCCAACTTGCTCAACAGAAAGAATTTAATTTGAGAAAGCCACCTTCTTTTCATTATGATTTACTTCTTCTTGGGTTCATGGTAAACAACTTTACTTCATCCTTTATCCAGTTTGGCGTTGGTTTTACTTATTGTGGTACATGCTACTTAATCTTCATAAACATATGAATCTTGTGTTCAAATGACAGGTCATCTTGTGTGGTCTTCTTGGAATCCCTCCATCAAATGGTGTTATCCCACAATCTCCTATGCATACAAAGAGTCTGGCGACTCTTAAGCACCAGGTAAATCATCCCAAACCACTTCTATGAAGATCAACCACAATGCTGCATGAGCATATCCACTATTCATAGTTCAGTAGGTATCTTAATTGTATGGTGTTCTATGTTAATGTATGTTGGACCTGGTTGAATTGGTGTTTCTTGTGCCTCTTTTTTATCACTTGCAAATATAACTTTCATTTATAATATGATCTGCTTACACTGCAGTTGTTACGTAATCGGCTTGTTGCCACAGCACGGAAAAGTATGAGTAAGAACTCAAGCTTAGGACAATTATATGGAAGTATGCAAGAAGCCTACCACCAGATGCAGACTCCATTGATCTACCAGGAGGCATCAGCTCGAGTATGACATCTAACTGCCTACATTAGAAACTGCCAGGACTAGTCCATATTCTCGGTTATTTGCACAAGGTTGTGACTTAGTGGAGTCAGCAGTGGCTCATCCTGGTCATGATTAAGCTGATTCATACATAAACCAAAAGCAATGATCTCTAATTGCTGAGCTTCCTAATTCTAGTTTGTATAGCTTTTCCCATTTAATTCTGACTTCTGAGTTACAGAATCTCACAAGCTTGCCTAAGTATCCGAGTTTCTTCAGCAGGGATTAAAGGATCTGAAGGAGTCAACAATTCAAATGGCTTCAAGCATGGGGAATATTGATGCCCCTGTTAATGAGACTGTATTTGATGTTGAAAAGGAGATTGATGACCTTCTTCCAGTTGAGGTCAAAGAACAGCGACTGAGCAATTTACTTCAAGCTTTAATGGTTGGAGGCTGTGTGGCAGCCATGCCTGTCCTTAAAAAGATTCCAACCTCTGTGCTTTGGGGCTACTTTGCCTTCATGGCCATTGAAAGCTTACCTGGCAATCAATTCTGGGAAAGGATCCTTTTGCTTTTCACTGCTCCAAGCAGAAGATTCAAGTAAACTCTTATCTTTACATCTTCATTCTACATTTCACTTCATCCAAAGAAAATAACTGGACCTTTCAATGACTGCAGAGTGCTTGAGGAGTACCACGCAACTTTTGTGGAAACGGTGCCCTTCAGGATAATTGCAACTTTTACAGTCTTCCAGTCGGTTTATTTGTTCATATGCTTTGGGATTACATGGATCCCAATTGCTGGGGTTCTTTTCCCTTTGATGATCATGCTTCTGGTTCCTGTGAGGCAATACCTTCTACCCAAGTTTTTCAAAGGAGCCCACCTGCAAGATTTAGATGCAGCAGAGTACGAGGAGTCACCAGCTTTACCATTCAACCTAGCAACTGTAAGCTTTAACTGAAATATTTGAAACAAGTTTTTATGAGTTGAACTTCATTCATTATCAAATGCTTATAGCTCATGCTTTTGGAACCTGATGTGGACTTCAGGAGGGAGACATGGTTATCAGAGCTTTAGCAGAGGGAGAGCTTCTAGATGATATGATTACTCGAAGTAGGGGTGAGATTAGGCGCACCTGCAGTTCAAAGGTAACGAGCTCCACTGCAACTCCAGCGAACAACCCAAAAACCTTACAAAGCCCTCGGTTCTCAGAGAAGACATATAGCCCTCGTTTAAATGAACTGAGAGGGGATCCAAGTCCTTGGCTTGGCGGAAGAGGCCACCAGAGTCCAAGAACTAGTGAAGGAAGACCATCTAATTTGGGACAAAGTCCTTGTATTTAACTTAGAAATCACTAAGATGATAGACTTGTTTGGTAAAGAACTTCTGGCAGTTTTTCTTCTTGTTTACTTGGCCTGTGGCTGACATCAATGTAAAATCTTCTTTATTCTGCAATTTCTAGAGAAATCTGTAATCATGGTTATGTATAAATAATGCAAGTGAATGTTTTTCTGCTTTTAACGTTCTTGGTTCTTCTTCTTCTAACAATGCCTAATACAACTTACAACGTACAACACATTGTTGAGTCTTCTTCTTCCAACAATCGCTATTCCCATAAGAGAGTAAGAGACCATGTATACCAATACTTCAGAGCGGAGAAAACAGTAGAAGCTTCATCATTCCAATCCAACAAAATGAACCCAGTAAAATACAAAGCAAGTTGTGTGCACCAAATTGCAGTAAAAGAGTCAAATGGTGTATATGTTTTGCTGGGTAGATGAATTACTGGCATATTCTCCATTGAAATGTTCTGTCATGGATGCCAAACAGTTTGACTACCAGTTGTGCAGGTAAACAAAGTCATGTTACAAACAGAACAATAAAATACGGTGAACGCATTTGCCAAAGATTAGTGTACCTTTTGCACCCAAATCCAAATCCAAAGCGCCTGAAATCATTTAGGGTCTGTTTGGTTTGAAGTTGGAATCAGAATGGAAGTCCTTTCAAATCAGAATCGGAATGGTCTATTCCCCTAATCTGTTTGGTTCAGAGTCTTCAGACAGGAATGGGAATGTGAATTGGAATAAACAGGAATGAGATTTTATTCCTTCAAATTGGGGAATGCATTCCAGCAGGAATAGGAATGGGATTCCGATTCTGCCCAACCATAAGGTTGGAACCAGAATAGTCCATTCCGATTCCGATTCCAGACCCCTATTCCTGCAAACCAAACAGGGCCTTAATTCCTAAAGACATAATTGATAATCTCCTTTATTTTGCCTTAAAATTTTTATTTATAAAAAAATTCCCCAGTAAATGATAATACTCCATTGAGTGATTATAATTGATTTTCCTCGTAAATTTTGTATGGCGATTTTGCCATTCAAATGTATAGCATTCTAAATTCCACTATTTTTGTGAATATTTCCCATCTCTTGTCCCTGTGGATTTTCACGTGCCAAAATTTTGGCATTTCATTTTAGACGGACAACATGAAACTAATCAAAATTTCAGTTATTTGGCTGAAGTTTCAGATGCTACCAAGAACCTTAGAGCAGCCCCATTAATAAATGATAAAATGGTGGAAAGTGGATTGAGATGGTCTGGCCATATGTAAAAAAGAAGTGAAAGGCTGCAAGTTGAAGGGCTCAGAAGAGTATGCAGACCCCAAAGAGGACATGGATTGAAGTAGTGAGAGTGAGAAACGATTTGAAGGTCTATAATTTAACAGTGGATATAGGGTATTAAACAGAAGTCACATCTGCCCCTACAAAATGTGTCTCAAAAACGTCCCACAGCATATCCCAACCCTGTATTGAAAACATCACCCAATGACAAATACGGGAGATGATTTTAATACACGCTGAGATGTGCATGTGGGACGTTCTGTGGGGGGCAGATGTGAACTCCATTAAACAGAGTGAAATGGTAAAGTAGGATTGGTGAAACTTCCCATTTGACTAAACAACCGAACATTATATTGATTTCAGCTGAGACCTTAAACTGAAAGTTTAGTTAAATTTCAGGGGGTGTTCTTTTTTTTGGATTTTGAGAGGGGGGAAAGTTGGCCAATGGGATTTTGGTTCCCATTGACCAAGAATCCCATGTTCTTTTTTCAGCTTTATGTGGGGATCAAGGAAAATTTATTTTCTGGGTAAGTGATACCTATCTCATAGGTGGATAAATAACTTTCCCACCTAGGGGTAAAGTTGTCAACACTTGAATGGGACAAAAATGGCCCTTTTAATAATGGATTTTTATGGCTAAAATGGTCATTACCTTATTTACCTAAGAAATAAAAGAACATGGGTAGATGAAATTACACGAGTAAGTATTTCCTAGGAAAAAGTTACCCAGGTAATGGATCCATATCTATTAGTAATCATAGGCTTCCATGCAAGTTCAAGGACATAATTAATACAGATTTCATGGCTCCTTGTATGCATCATTGTGCGCCATACTGTTATGGTTTAGACTTTAGACTTTAGGCTTTAGGCCTTAGATGCATCCAATTGACAATCCCTCATCAGAAGCAGACAAAGGATCAGTACCCATCAAATGTCAATGCTGCAATCTGCAGCAGAAGGATTCGTTTGCATCTCCAGAAATGAAGTAAGCTTAAAAGTTGCTTAAACGAAAGTAGCGGCCATAATTCACACAATACACGTAAAGGAAAGTGAAATGGAATCCGACATTCTCAATTGCAGAGGAATATGCATGGGTGCTGCAAGCGTAGTTTTCACACGATTGACCTGTTGTTATCTCAGTGGAAAACATTCTCCACAAAGTATCTCTGTCCTTGCTTTTGAAATTCTGTGTGGGTCAGTGGGTATCTGAAATAGTAGCTAACATCAAAATCAATCACAGACTAAATTTGGATTATTTGAATGAAATGAAAGAAAAGAAGTGTTGGCCATGACCGTGAACCTGTTGTATGAAAACTTGACAAAAACAAATATGAAATATGCCTACAATAGTGGTTAGTGCTAAGATATGGATATACATGCACATGGGCCAGCCCACATGTATGATTAATTGGGACAATTGGGTCTGACGCCATTAAAACCGATTAAACTTAGCACCTAAGTACCAACAATTTACGACTTCACCTTGATAATTCGACTTTAATAAACTTAGCACCTTGATAATTGAACTTTAATAAAACTAAAAAAGATTAAACTGTATATATGTTGATAACAGCAAGAACTGCTCCCAACCAGAATTAACATTATAGATTCTATTAGGTAGACTGACCTATTGACAGAGTTCGGATCTCCTCCTAACAAAAAACCGTCCCAATAGATTCCAACATATTCGGTGTTTGCACATCTCATGCATCGTGAATCACAGTCCTTTGGTGAGATGTGCGGACAGATCATTTTGGAGCCATGTTGAGAGGAGATCCCAACTCCTATTGACAGCATAGCCCTATCCACGTTTACAACATTTTAAAGGTTACCGATCGTTGATTCTATTTCAAATATTAGTGTTTATAACATAAAAATTGTGGCTCAAGAGTTGATTAGAGGAATATAATTGTAGAATAGTATTGACCCATATCGATACTTTAAGGCTATGTTTGGTTTGAAGGAAAAGGTAAGGAAAGGAAGGGAAATGTAGGAAAATTTTTACAAACCTTGTATAGGTTTCCTTGCCTTTCCATACTTTTTCCTTCAAACCAAACACAATCTTAAGGGTCCGTTTAATACTTTAATTTGTGATCAGAATTAGAATTGAAACCCAAATCACCTGTTCTACTGCCTGTTAAATTCATACAGGAATAAAAATCAAGTTCCATAAGATATGCATGACTTTAGAGGGTTGGTGTCGAATAAAAAGAAATAAGATTTGGTGATTTTTAAGTCAATTGTCATTTATTTTCTATTTCTTTTTTGGCCACATGAAATAAAATTCTCATTCCCAAATGGGGGAGGCTGGAATGGCCATTTCACAAATGGAAGAATGCCATTCCGCCAGAAGTGTGAGTCAGAATCCCACTTCTTTATCCAACCAAATGGCTGAAATGGCAGAATGACCCATTTTAATTCCGATTCCAGATCAGACCTATTCCTGCAAACCAAATGAACCCTAAACCTTGAATGTCATCCACTCGAATATATGGTTGCAAGGTTCAAAGTATTGACTCTCGATCAGCTTAAAAAATATGGACTCTTGGTACGAAAATTTAACATATCAAGAGTTCCTAAACAATCGATACTATTCTCCATTAGACCAGATACTTTCTTTTACATGTTACAGATTACAAGGGGATTAATGGATAGGGATTAGGGTCAGCAGGGTGCACGTGAAATCCACTGATCTTACCAAAGAAGGCATGCACTCACGTGGGTTTATTTGATCCGATGCCTCCATGTTGGGAGAGACACTGACCATCTCAGCCAGTCAGCTAATGAGTCATCAGCACTAGACTAAGAATCTGTTTGGTACTGTAATCACTTATTTAATAAACGTTTTGTATGGGATTTATCTTGAAAAATGAAAAAAGTGGCTGATAAATTTTTTGATGTTGTTTGACAACTAGGCACCACAAAACACCTTGAAATGGGGAGAAACATTAAAATGGAGCTTCCCCCAATGATTGGCTCTCACACAAATGGAAGAAACGTTTGTTTAATAAACAATTTATCAAACAGTATTTCAGAATAAATGCCTATTGACAATGAGCTAGTGGTTTCAAATAAACAGCAACGACATCAACTAGATACTTAAAACCCACAAACCTCTACATTTTGCGACTAATGAGAGAATATATCCTCGTGCACACTCCAATCTCTGAATTTATCACTATAGGGGGGAGGGGGCAGCTAAAAGTGAACCACATACATCAGTGACTATGCAAGATCATTAGCCCTTCTGAACAAACATCTCAAGAGCTACTGCTAAATTTGCGACCAGACATCTTCTCAGATTCATACAGAATATGATTTATAAGTCCCCTGGCAGCACTGCATACACAGAAGGCCACAGTAAGGTGAAAATTATTTAACCCTGTTTCCTAATTTGATACAAGAAATAAAATAATGAACGGAAGCGTGAGCTAATGCAGGATTTAATCTTCCGGGGAGACGGCAAAAGTAGGAGAGGTGTTAGTTTGACTGTCAACTTTCTTTCAATCCACCCCCCAAACATTGGTCAATAGAAACAAGGAATATAAGTGATTAGGAACTCACTCATCCTTTAATTTCTGAATCTTCTCTGGATCTGTCTCATGCATGTGTTTTTTGAACTGCTGCCTTACCATATCAACAACAAGCTCTGTATTATGTTGCTGCAGATTTAAGACAAAGAAAATAAGGTTAACCTAGCACTTCAATATACAAACTGAAATGAAACCCCAATAGAAAGTAAGCTCATGAAATCTATGCTCAGTAGAAAAAGTGAAACAAATAGAGAGAAGAGCAAGTTTCTCAATGCAGTAACAACCAGATCAGATATTCGGGGTAAGAAGAGTTAACCTATATAAAATGGTAAAAAATTACTTAACTTGAATTCTAGGATACAACTAGGACAAGAGGATCTTGAAACCAGTACCTGCCAAAGTTGAGTAGAAGACTGGTGCCAGTTGAGACATAGCAATCCAGATTAAGTCATCCAAAGAACACTACTTTAGGTTTCACTCTTTTAAGATTTGCAGTTTGCTTATTAAATGGAAAAGAAATGCAAGAAATGGAAAACTTTGTATTTACAGACATGTATACCTAGGGCAAGAGTCAGATGTTTTGGTTCAACAATTTCCATGACCTCGCCTCGTGCTCACACCCAAAACCCATGCAACGCCCATTGTACAAATAGATACACTCTAAATACTTCATTTGATAAAATATTAAACACCACTAAGCCACTCTCCTTACCTCAGTTTTGAGCGTTACCACCACCCATACTTGTTTCCAGCTTCTTCAAGTAAACTGAAAATCTGTTGTTCTCTTCTATATGGGTAATATATCATGCTTCCATCTTGTAATCCATCATGTATGATGACACACCCTCTGGATTAATGAATTTCTTTTCTGTTGATGTGAAGTTTTGCAGAGGGGAGATCAAATTGGCAAAGTTCAGGGCTGCACTGCAACCCTCTCCAATTAATTACTTTCAACCCAAGGACAGTGGTAGTAGTATGCTATATAACAGAAGACAAGAGAATCACTTGAAACTGTAATCCAATAACTTGCATGTGCTTCTTGTTAGATAGCTAGACAAAATTTCCTTTTTATGCATGGCTAGAAACAGTAAAAGTGGAACCCCATATCTTTTAAAACCTTAGGCCTGAAAACCACAGCCGAGTATATTATTATTATTTTTTACAACTGATAAAATAAAATATTATAATATAATTTTTTGTGATAATGAATATAAACTCAGATTTAAATATTTGGGCAAACCCAAACACCTGGCCCAGCCCGCCTAGAACCAGGCCTAGGCATGGTGCAGGCCAGGCTGGACCCAAGCAGTTGAAAATGCTCTTATAACCCTATGAAAATCCAGCCCAACCTGGTTCATGATCATCCCTAGTACATGTACAAAAGAAAATAACAGTCATAAGCTGTCCAAAAAGTACATTAAAAAAAAAAACAGGTTCAGTTTTGTTGTTATAACAACCCTAGGCTTGGGCTCTCCCATGATAGAGTCCGGATTACCTGCCAACAAAACATGTTCGAACTCCCTACCAACATCATCTGACACCATACATCTCATACATGATATGTCCCACTTTATGGTGGGCCCTAGTTTTATAGTGAGATGTGTGGTGTCAGATTGAGTTGGTAGGGTGTTGGAATGCATTTTGTTGTCAGGAGATCCCAACTCCCCATGATAAAGCAGGCCTTCCAACTCCTCTAGCAGGTAAATCTGCTACAGCATTAACAGATCAGGGGGCCACCTGAAAATTCACATTTGGCATCTCAAAAGAAATAAATCCCACCAAATAATACATTAAAAGTTAAGAGCTTCTTAGATTTTTATTTTTCCATCTGAACAATTGTCGGAAAGGTTTGCCACCTAAAGAAGTTGATGTAAAGGCAATAATTTCTTAACAGTCTGGTTAACAACCCTTGAAAGTTAAGCCCCACTTTAGGAATGCATATTTTTAAGCATTTATTGGAAAAAGCGTTTATTTTAAGATGGGACCACACCAATAAGAACTTATATATGTTTGGGAAATATGCCTGAATAAGTGGTTTTTCAAGAAATAAGCCCATTTTGAATAAGCTCAAAATTTTGGCCTTTTTTCAAAGCGCTTTTTGAAAAAGCACTTGCACTTATTGGCATCTCTGCCCTGTCTTGGCTGGCCATGTAATTTCCAAAATACCTATACTACCTCATTTGAAAGAAGCGCTTTTCCACCAAACACTCGTGCTTATCCTAATAAGCACTGAAGAAATAACTGTTACAAGAACTGAACTCTCCAGGAAAACTAAGAAACCTAATCAAACATAGTCAGCCACAAAAGGAAAAAAGAATCTTAAATCAATCAAATTATAATCCCTTTATTTTGTTAGAAACAGTCTCCATTTTCTTTGAAGCATGGCCTCAAATTTTCACTTAGATCTAGATAAAGAAGAGGAACAGACTGAATCACAAGGTTGAGACCATCAATGCAGTTGGACCAGCCTGTGATGTTGTGAGGTTATTTAGCAATTAGCAGCATATTTTCCTTTTTGTTCACATACGTATTGCAGTTTCACTTTCATAGATTGCATTTTAACAAATACAAATATATACAGTGCAAATACAGGTTTGTAAATACAAAATACAATGCTTTGCACTGTACATATTTGTATTTGCCCTCTTTCCAAACTGAGCCTTAGGAAAAAAAAAAAAAAACAAAACAAAATATCAGTCCCATTATTGCAAGATCAATATTCAAAATATAAAAAAAAATGGAGATGATTTACTTCTAATATATTTCTCAAAAATAAAAGTGGAGACAAAAACGCTGTTGCTTTGTTGATCCAACTAAATCTAATTTGATTAGGTATTAAAATTTTGCTGTACGCCTTAAAAGTAAAGTTCAATTAAAAACATTAAATGTAGCTCCGAAATGTGAAACCCTACGTGCTTGGATTGTGCTAAGGTTGAAATTTCAACAAAAAGATGCATATCAATTTCACAATTCAAGAAAATTAGAGACGCATACCCGATGACCAATGAAGCGAGCTCTTCTGAGGCATTCACGGTAGAGCTACAAAAGAAAAAAGAAAAAAAAAATCCAGGTCTTAAAATAAAATTAGGACATGCCAAAGATTCTCAACAGAGGACATCTTTTTCTTATAGAAAGATTGGAAGAGAGGGTGTTGTACTAACTCTTATCACATTGTTGGCGAGTTCGGGAGGTAAAGCTGTTTGGAGGGAAGGCATGCTTTCTTTTTCCTTCAAATCGTTTCTGAGAAACAAACATGTAGTTCCCAAATTAACTCCTAAACATCAAGAAAAGAAGAAGAAAGAGAAAAGAATATGCAATCCAGCACTGAATCAAAAAGTATCAAACCCAATTAGGCATTCAAATCCAAGCAGAAATGAAATAATTCCATTTCATAAGCTACAAAAATACAAAAAAGCTTCTGAATCAGCAAGTTTATGTACTAAAGACATTAAATCGAACAAGAGATGTATGTAAAATACGAGTAGGGATTGGAAATAAACATGATGATTAGAAATGAACAAAAATTACCATCACATTTTAAATTTGACCCGAGAATTTAAATTTTCAAGAAATATAGTCAGTAAAAAGAACAGGATTTCAAGGACGATTAAATTACATGTTCGTTCAATCAACCCTAGCTCCGCTTCAGTCTTCGCGTCTCCCCTTCGGCCTTCACTAAACAATGACACGCTTCAAACCAAATGAGAAACGAAAACCTAAGATGGGCTTTGGGAGTATGCTGCAAGTCAGGCTGCCCAATTGATTCGGGCCCATTGAAATCTTAAACAGATTTCCAACCCGACCCAAGTAGGAAGTGGTCATGCGGCCCATGGTCATTAGGGAGCTACCAGCACGGCATCACCGTGTAAATGGAATATTTTTTCGAACTCAAATGTATGGTAATTCTGATTCATCATTCACGGTGGTGGCGGTTCGGAAAAGACCATAAACCCGTATTTCCAGAATTGCTAGCAAGGTAAACTTAGCGTCTGTTTGGCATTGATGTCTTTGCTCCAGAAAATGGCAATGCATCAGTACCATATCGAAAAAAATGGTGCTTCAGGAAATGCTTGTTTGTTTGGAACTGTTTTTTCATAAAAAACGATACTCCAAGCCATGCCTTGGAAATCGGGAAAGCATGGATTGGAGCAACGCCGAATTTGATGTTTCCTGGAGCTGCAGCTCGTTGCTGCCAATAGGGACATGACATGGCACTGGATAATAGGTACCAGTGCTGAAACCGTTTCCTAAAGCATTGGTACCAAACAGGAAACATTGCTGTTGCTCTAGAACCTGGATCAAAATGCAAAACCCTCCCTGAATTCAAGGGTAAGGCGGGTAAGGTTTAGAACCTGGATCTAATTTCCTATTATATTTTGTTATATATAAGCAATAAATAAGTAAAATAACACAAATTCTAATTGTTTGATTAAGACATGTAAAAAATACATAAGCTATTAATTATCCTTCATATAAAATTCAAAATGTTATTAAATTTAACACCTAATACATAATGTTTATATGCTTGCCAACAATATATATATATATATATATATATATATATATATATATATGTATGTATATATATATATATGTATGTATATATATATATATATATGTATGTATATATATAGTCAGGGAGGGTTGAGTTTAGCCTAATACCGTACCCTACCTATACTTGTATGAGTTGTAGAATCCCAAAACCCATCCCCGCCCCAAAACTCATCCTCCAAGTAGGGTAAAAATTGCCATCCCTGATTAGTAAGGTGGAGCACAATTTGCATGGGCGCCCCACAGCACATCCCAAGAACTCCCATTGATAAATACAAGAAATGTTTCCAATGCACACTGAGATATGCATATGGGGCGTGCTATATGGGGCACCAACTTGAATTTGGTGGAGCCAGTTTTCTTTTTTTTTTAGTGGGGGAGAGTTCTATATGCTTATCTTAATAATATAAGTGGGGATTCTGAGAAACTTTAGAACATAAGGGGGCCAAGCTCTTTTAGCCTCTAGCTCTGCCCCACCTTGTTCAAAGGATGAAACCAAGATGGATTTCTTTTTCCTCTTTGTGCCATATATCAAATTTAGGACTTAGGATCAGTCCAAAATGGCCCACCTTTAGCCTTCACACTTAAGGCTCAGATTGGAAGGAGTACAAATGCAAATATGTAAAGTGCAAAAACCTGCACAAATTAAGGCATGCACCCGCACGAATATAGGTAATGCTCCATGATGCATGAACTATATATATATATATATATATCGACACTTTTGCACTCTATCGCACCCTTAATATGATTAACTAGTGGGGACCCGTGCGATGCATGGGAATATCTGAAAGATTGAATAATTTTATTTACTATTAATTAATTGATAAATTAATAATCAAAATTTGTTGTTAATTAACTAAAAGTATTCAAAGTTATTGTAAATATTTAAAATTTTAATAATTGTATTTTTTATTTAGTGTTGATTTACAAAAAATAATTATTATTAATTAATATGAACAAATATTTTTTAATAAGTTTAATTTTATTAATCATTTGTAGAAATTTTAATAACTATCTTTATTTTCATTGTTTTTAAATGAAATTTTGATTGACTTTAAATAAAAAAGTAATTACAAAAGCTAACATTTTTATTAATTTCACTAATAATTAACAATTATATAGGAATGGAAACGGGGCAGGGCACTCCATCCCTATCCCTGCCCCGTAGTCAAGACACTCTACTCCATCTCTGCCCTATCCCAAGTGTCAGGTGGGTTCAGGGCAAGACAACCACTCCTCATCAAGGACAGGGATTCCTCGAATTCTCCTCGCCCTGTCCCTAGTGTTGGGCAGGTTCAAGGCAAGACACCCACTCCCTGTCAACCCAACATTCAATTTGATGACAAAAATGATCAAAAGGATATACCGAGTATCAACCACATGGTAAATTTCTAAAAGTATAATAAGTTATCTTTAATTTTCAAAGATTTGATTTTATGAAAATTTTGGAAAATTTATTACATTTGTGTAATTTTGAAAAATTATTCAAATTTATTTTTAAATTGCTATTAAATAATTTATTTCCTTTTAAATGGTTTACTTACAAAATTATACTAATTTATCTTATATTTTCTAATATAAACTAATCAATAATTTCCTTTTTCCAATATTATACTAATTTATCTTAATAATTTGTGTAATTATTGGTTCAAATTACAGTTTTCCCTTTCCCATGCTCATTTATCTTTAATAATTTTCAATAATTTATAATGAAAATACATAATTTTTCAATAGTTTTCCAAAATCTATCAAATGTAATAAAATTTCCTAAACTTTCCAAAATATTACAAATACATTTTGAATAAACATTCACAAATTTTATATCTTTTAATTTCCAAAATGTTATTTTATGAAAATATAGTTCTATGAATTTTTTTTTTTTGAAAATTTTATTACATTTGTGTAATTATGGAGATTTATTGAAAAATATTTTAAATTGTTATTAAATATTTATTTTTATTAGGTAGTTTACTAACAAAGTTGCACTAATTTATATTTTATTTTCCAATATAAATTAATTAATAATTTCATTTTCCAACATTATAATATTTTATTCTTCTATTTGCATTCGATTATTAACTATAATAATAGCAATAACTAAAATTTTATACTTTTTGATAATTGTTAAACATAATTCTCAATTTTATAGAAATTAGTTAAAGAGTTTTAAATTTCTATAAAATGTTGTTATTTAACATGAATCTAATGGTATTTACCCAAAATACTTTAAAAAGTCATGATGAGTTAATTAATAACAATATTTACTAATTTTTGGTAATTTATTAACTGTATTTATTAACTTTTGGTAATAATACTATTTACATTGAATATGGGTTGGATTAAATATTAACCATATTTAACTGTTTATTAATTAATATGAATATATTTGATGATGCACAATCCGGTCGGTCTTAGCTGCCGGTAACCTTGCCTCTGATAGAGTCGGAGGTGCCTGAAACAAGGAAGAAACTAGAGATTTCTGGGGAGGAACCCGGTAAGAACACTTCGAAGCTCAAGTTAATATTCTTGAGAAGGCAAGAAAATAAGGGATTTCAAGACCAGAAAGCACAAATATCACATACTTCTTTCTCTGGGAGGGGAAGGCCTTTTATAGCCACCTAGTACACTTACTCCCAAATTTATGCCAAGTCAGGT